GACAGTGAGAACAATTAACCAGTGGAACAACCTGCCTCCAGAAGCGGTGAATGCTCCAACACTGGAAGTTTTTAAGAAGAGACTGGACAGCCATTTGTCCGAAATGGTATAGGGTTTCCTGCCTGAGCAGGGGGTTGGACTAGATGACCTTCAAGGTCCCTTCCAACTTTACTATTATTATTATTATTAAACTAGACATTCCCAATTCCAGCAGCCGTTCCTTATATGTTTTAGCCTCCAGTCCCCTAATCATCTTTGTTGCTCTTCTCTGTACTCTTTCTAGAGTCTCAACATCTTTTTTATATCGTGGTGACCAAAACTGGATCCAATATTCCAAGTGTGGCCTTACCAAGGCTTTATAAAGTGGTATTAACACTTCACGTGATCTTGATTCTATCCCTCTGTTAATGCAGGAAGATCCCCTACTTATGCAATGGTCTGCTAAAAAAAATATGAGTCTAGGCCAGAACTGTAGTCTGAGAAAGTCAGGCAAGGGTCTCCTAATTCTCACTATGATAAAGCATATTCTGACTTGCAAAGTCATCTTACTATAACCATATAATAAAAGTAGTATTAGTATGCATGACTTTGGTTTCCTAGATTGGTCTGCCTTGAAGGACTGACAGTCTACAGACACATCTATGTCATTTTCTTGGCAGCAGGATATAAATGGTCTAATATTGCCTTTTCTGGGATTATTTTTTCTTAGCAGCCTATTTTTATAATTGATGAATTTCTATTGCTTTATTATTATTCTATGAACATTTGAGGGAATGTATGATTTGTTGCTGTTGGTATAAAAAAAAAATAAGTGTCATCACCACCCTGCTTGGTATTCTGTTATTTTAACTTTGAGATATTCAAAGAACTTTCTTTCCCATTATTTAGTTCTTGAGGTCAAGACCAGGAGCAACAAACTTTTAACAAACTACAGGAAATAACTAAAGGGACTGAACAATCTCAATGGAATTACCCCATTATGAGAGAATGGTTGAAAAGTTTTCACAAACAGAGAGACTCACCTTGGAAAGTTTGCAGTTGTGGCTGATAGGATAAAAATCAATGTGGTTGAAGACATGAAGCTTAGAACTGTTGGGGAACTCAAGCCAGGATATTTTCAAATTTAACTGCTTTTTGATTTCACAACATAGCTTGTCTGTATGCTTGGGAAAGTCCTGTGGTGATATTCTCCTATCATGGCTCTGTGATTAGAATCCTTCCAAACCATTTCTCAGCATCAAGCACATAACTTATATCATCAGCAGATCCTTCTTGATAGCTGAGCAACATCTTTGAGAAGGACCAAGGTAAGATACCATTGTGCCATTTGGAAGATAATTAATTCATGGGCAATTTATGATTGAAACAGGGGCTTAGACAGAATAGCTTTGTTAAATAAAAAACTTTATGTAGGCATACCCTATCTTAACTGCTTTTCTGATTTTTGTAAATGCAAACACAAGGCTGTACTTAAGTAGAACATTTCATTTATTTTTTTCCCTTTCTTTTTTTTCGCTTGGAGAATTTCCATTGTGTATTGTTATTATTATTTTTTTCATTTTGGAGTCCATTCTAAACTAATGAGGTGAATCTGAAGAACTGTACTAAGTTTATTATGCAGGTTGAAATACAGTAAATGTTCGATCAATAATCCAAGTTAATTCTTGCCTCTCAGTGGAGCATGTGTATTTCATTCTTGGGACACTGCAAGGGCTCAGTAAAAAGCAGAGTTGGAATTAAGGCAAATTATTTCTGTATCTCTAGTGATTTGAAAGGAACAAGCAGGTAGAGAACATGAATATCAAACTTTAGTCATTCCTATGGAATATTATTCATAAACTCATCATTAAAGATCAGACAACTCCCGAATCCACTGGAAGGATATTTTCACAGAGACTTCATAAGCTCCATAATATCATTGTGACTTGTAATAAACATTGATAGATTAATCCTGCATGAATGTATCTGACTCTGAAAATCCACAGATGCATTGTAGAAAGAGAGCAACAACTTTCATGAGTTACAATATATGCTGTGCGGAATAGCATTTTTGACAGTCCCTTCTTCCTGAACCCACAGTTGTTTTTAACAACCCTAAGCCACCAAGTAACCATAGTTTCTTCAAGACTTACTCTATAGTCCCAACTAAAAAAAAATCTACCTGCTGCAGTGATTTGAGAGGAATAAGCAGGTAGACAATATATTGTATCAGTCCTATGGAATGCCTAATAAAAACAAGCTTATTTCATTGGAAAGATACTGCCAATGGAAGATTAAAACATGCCTTCACATTATGGGCTACTCCAGATTTTTTATAGATGAGAAGGGACATGGGGTTCAGTAGAGCACAAATTAGTATGCTTAGCTTTCCTATTTCTTTATATTTCTCTCTATGACAGAGACCATTATTTCAGCATTTCTCTCCACTGTGAACCAAATTCAGCCTCTGCTGAATACTTGCATCTCCAACCATTTGAGCTTCTATTTGGTATAAGATATTCCTTTCAAATTGCAGGTTAATGCTGATTAATAACCACTGTTGACAAGAGATGGTTTGCTTAGCAAAGAGAAGCAAGAAGATTGGCTATCATTCCACTAGGTCTGCTAGGCTCGGATAGTTTCAATAGGTTTACTGTATAGAGACTGGGTTCTTACCAGACATTGAACATAACAAAAATAAATATGTGTGTTGTGACCTAGGGCAGATAGGTCACAACACACCTCCATCAAATATCGGCATGAACTGTATCCGGTGACATCAAAATATCCGGTGCATATTTTATGCAAAAGGTAATTCATGTATTGACTCCAGTTTTTCTTTCATACAGATTTCAAAGCTACTAAATATCAAACATATATTTACAGAAGGAGATGGGAAGAAGAGGGTGGGCTGTTAATGGGAGTCTAAAGGTTAGTGTTTTTCCTGAGCCTCAATGCCATTTTAGTTGTTTTTCATGTTTAATATAATCCTTTGCTATGTTTGTATGCTGAGTTTTTGCATAACTGTATCCTACACATTGGACAACATAAACAGACAAATAAATAAAATGAGGAAGATGTAATAAACTTCCAATGTAGGCTTGTCCTATGAGAAACAGTAGAGTTATGCTGATGTCTCCTGTGCTCCTTTCGACAGACCACTAAAATCACAAACCTCATCACCTCCAGAAAAATGATAGTCAAATTCATCTTGAATAAACTGTACTAGAGGCAGCTGATATAAAACCATTATCTGGTAATTCCAATGTCTTTTTCTTCCTTTTTTTAAACAAAAATATTTTATTATTGTAGATGTATTATTCAAATTGATTAGTTAAAATTGTATGGTTGGTCAATATTCTTGTACTGGACTAAGTAATCCAGTCCATATTGTTTGCCCCGACTGATGATTGCCATGTTAAAGCAGCATTTAAAATTTGAAACCTTGGTGCACCACTTTACCTGCCTGATTTCACACATAAACTGGAATATTTAGTACATGTGTACTTTTGGAAGTGACTGAGAAATGTGCAAAGAGAATGTGGGTCAGGATGTCAATTCTTATCTCATTGCAGATGGATTCAACCAACAAGACTTCAGTTGAGGAATTTGTTTTATTAGGTTTTGGAATTGAACAGCACAAGCGTTTGCTGCTCCTCGTCTTTTTCACTTTTCTCTATGTGCTCACTTTGGTTGAGAACGTCACCATTATTATCTTGGTGTTTTTGGACACCCACCTTGGGCGGCTTCCTATGTACATCCTGCTGAGCAACTTCTCCTGGTTGGAAATGTGCTACGTGTCCTCCACAGTTCCTCGCATGATCTTTGATTTAGCAGTTCCTGGCGGCATCATTTCTCTCAAAGAATGTTTAATCCAGTTCTACATCTTTTTCATCCTTGGGGGCACGGAGTGTTTTTTCCTTTCAATTATGGCCTTAGATCGGTACGTGGCCATCTGCCACCCATTGCACTACCCACAAATTATGTCTCAAAATGTCTGCTACATTCTGGTGGCTCTTTGTTGGATCCTTGGCTTCCTGTGGTATCTTGTTCCAGCAACGTTGATCGCTAAGTTGTCCTTTTGTGGCGCCAATGTCATTGACCACTTTTTGTGTGATGCTGGTCCAATCCTATCCTTGGCTTGCCCTCCGCTTGGAATGGTTCCCACTTGGAGTCAGATTTGTCTCAATGGTCTGCTCCTAGGTAATATGACATTTGTTATTTTGTCCTACGGCACTGTGATTTTCACTCTAATGAAGATGTCCAACAAAGGCAGTCGTAGGAAAGGCTTTTCTACCATCTCTTTCCATCTAATTGTGGTCTCACTTTTCTATGGTTCAGTGACAGCAATGTACTTGTTACCAGGTGGAGAAAGCCAGTTAGGTATCACTAAGGCAGTGACTCTCTTCTATACCACTTTTACACCTTTTCTCAACCCCTTGATCTACTGTCTGAGGAACAATCAATTTAAAGAAGCACTGAATACATTACTAAGGAGAAAGGTGAGACTCATATGGAGCAAGGGATAGTCTAAAATTGTAGATGAAAGATATAACCAAAATCAAACACAAGCACCAACATGTACAAACACTCTAAGTCAAAGGTGTGCTTCTAGAATAGAATAGAATAGAATAGAATAGAATAGAATAGAATAGAATAGAATAGACCAGTGGTTCTCAACCTGTGGGTCGGGACCCCATTTGGGGTCGATCGACCATTTCACGGGGGTCGCCAAGCAAGGCTGTCCGCCATTTTTTTGTCCGCCATTTTTTTTGTCCGCCATTTTTTTTGTCCGCCATTTTTTTCCCCTTTTCCGGCGGGTGCCTTACCTCCCTTGGGCTGGGCCAGCTGGTGGTTGGCCTGCTCCGTCTCTGCCACTTGCCAGCTACGCCTCGGCCGGCGCAGGGGGCGGAACCACACATGCGTGGCGCTCCCGGGCAGGGAAAGTCCTTGACTTACGACCGGTTGGGTAATCCTCGACTTACGACCGGTTTAGTCCTCGACTTACGACCGGTTTAGTCCTCAACTTACGACCGGTTGGGGTCACGGCATTAAAAAGGTTGAGAACCACTGGAATAGACAGAGGTGAAAGGGACCTTGGAGGTCTTCTAGTCCACCCCCCTGCTCAGGAAACCTTATACCATTTCAGACAAATGGTTGTCCAATCTCTTCTTAAAAACTTCCAGGGTTGGAGCATTCACAACTTCAGGTTGTTCCACTGATTAATTGTTCTAACTGTCAGGAAATTTCTCCTTAGTTCTAGGTTGCTTCTCTCCTTGATCAGTTTCCATCCATTGCTTCTTGTCCTGCCCTCAGGTGCTTTGGAGAATAGTAATAGTATTTATGTCACCTTGAAAAGAAAAATTCCAATGTCCAGGCAGGTCTACATGAGCTTCATAATGCCCACATGGAGTACCATTAAGGTAAATTCTGGGTCCCACATTTTTCAAAGGTTATAAGAGTTAAACAAAGAAATGGAGAGAAAACCTATTACACTATCAGATGTGCCCAAACTGGGTGAAAGAGTTCATATCCTAGAAGACAGATATAAAATTCAAAATCTTGATAAGGCTAGAGAAGTAGGCTGAAAATAACAGAATGAAATTTAACACAGGAAAGCTCTCTTAGGGAACATATAAATGAACAGTTATAGAATAGGGAATATCTGGTTTAGTTATGGCTAGCTGTTAGAAAATCTGTTTTTATTATCTAAGGGACCATCTCTTGTTGGTCACATCTACTGACCCACTAGAGTGGTGGGGGGCAAGGAATGTTTCAGGTCCTGTCCCCTAAGGAGATACCTCTGGAGGGACCCAGAAGAAGGGCCTTCTCCGTGGTGGCTCCCTCTCTCTGGAACATCATTCTTCCAGAGATTAGACTAGCCCCCACTCTAACACTCTTTCAGAACCAGAAGACCTGGTTCTGCCACTGGGCCTGGGGAACACAGAGGGGGATGGAGCCCATTTGAATGTGTGTTGTTGTTGGGGTGGGGGGTTATTATTTTATTATTTTTCTTCTTGTTATTTTTTATTCTTTTTATATGGTGTTTTATATCCGTGTAAGCTGCCTTGAGTCACCATGTCCCAGTAGGTGGCAATATAAATTTTCTAAATACATAAATAAAATAAAATATATAGAAATTCTAGCAGGAGATAGTTACATAGCCATACAGATCAAATAAAATGTGCAATGTACAGTCACCATGAGATTTGCTGTTTAACAGTTTCAAAACTGTCACAACTGTCACTCCTGAGAACATAAAGGAACCATGGATCTATAACCATACAGTAGGTGCTAACTAAACACTGCAATTTACTGGCTGAATTAATTCTCTAGTTGTTGCAATACAAAATACATTCTAACAATGAATTCCAACACTAGTGACCTTGGAATATTAAATGGAGACTGAATATGAGTGTGCATTTTGTGTGGGTTCAAAAAATGGGGCAAGTGAACTTTAGGCTGTGTCAAACACACATGCACACAAACACACACAGAGACACAAATTCTATGTCCAAGCAGGTCTTTGGTTACTACATGAATTTCATAACGCCCACATGGATACCACAAAAGTCAATTCTGGGTTCCATATTCTTCAATTGTTGTAAGAGACTTAAACAAAGAAATTGAGACAAAACTTATTGAATTGCCAGATGAGCCCAAATTGGGTGAAACAATTCATATCCTACAAGACAGATGTAAAATTCAAAATCTTGATAACGCTAAAGAAATAGGCTGAAAGTAACAAAATGAAATTTAATAGAGGAAAGCTCACTTAGGGAACATATGAAATGGACAAATATAGGATAGACAATATCTGATTTAGCAATGGCTAGAGTAGTGGTTCCCAACCTTTTCTATACCCCGCATCCCTAGAACGCTTCTAATATATTCTCATACACCTTACCAAAATTTGAAATAACAGCAACGAATTATGCACATACACTATAATTTTAAAAACCCAAGTTTTTGTACCTCCTGGAATATCCCAGGTGCGAGGAAGGAGAATGTAGTGTAAACATGAGGAAGGAAGAAACAAACCAAATCACTATACTACATAAGGCCTGGTTACATTTTTATTTCATTTGTCCCTTTAAACTGCTCGACAATAAATTGGAGTGGAAGGCATGAAAAAATAACGAGGGATTTATTCACATGCACAAACTTCTCTCCTTCATTGGTCCTTAGGCATTTCTCTCCTTGACCAGGTCAGCCATGACATAGTTTGGAAGCAAATGGGCACCGTGCCAATATCAGAAAAAAATGCAGGAGAAACTCCTTGAATGGTAGGGCCATGTTCCACACTGTTGTCCACATTGCCTCCCACTTTAATACAGATGGCAAGTGTCCACATGGAAGCTCAAAGCAAAGATGGCAAGACACAATAAATGTGAGCATGAAAAATGCCCAGTTAAACCCAGATGCTGCATTGGATCAACACAAACACAAGATGGTGTTTGTGTTGATACAAAAAGCAGACTTTGTACCTACAGGGAAAATGCTAAGATTCAGCCACATGGTTTTTCTTTCCACATTTGGAACATATCCACCCATATCCTGGATATTATCTATATATTTGCTATCAAGAATGAAACTTTGGCAGCTATGTGCCTTTTCATTTCAGCTTGCCATTAGAGTAAGGGGGGAGTTGTTGTTTTAGATTTGGTTAAGATGGAGAAATGAAACCTCTATGATTCTGCTGAAGACTGTGAGAGCCTGAAACCTTTCCAAGGACACTGAAGCAGGTGTGGAAAAGAAGCAAACAGTTTCCATAACAAAGTGAAATTGTTTACATGGACAATATGAGAGAGTGGGGGTTGGGCCAGAGATATTATTGTTTAATTCTATGAACTGGTGCCTGGGAACCTTAGAGTTAGTTTTGCTTCGACATTACCATGCTGTGTATTCAATAAACAGTAAGATTTTTGGAAATGCAATGAACCTGGACTTTTATTTGGATCCTCGAACTGGATGTTGACATTTGCTTTATATTATTTGACAAAACTGTTGGCATATCTGCTGTCCTTTTTCAAGTTTTTATTATTTGTTGATGTTTCCTTTGTCAGGGCCAAACCGATCGCTGTCCTTCTTTTAATATGTGAAGTGTGTCCTATAATTTTCAAATATAACTGGGTGATAGTAATAGCAATAACACTTAGACTTGTATACTGCTTCATGGTGCTTTACAGCCCTCTCTAAGCAGTTTATAGACTCAGCATATTGCCCCCAACAATCTGGGTCCTCATTTTATCGACCTCGGAAGGATAGAAGGCTGAGTCAACCTTGAGCTGGTGAGACTCAAACTGATGAACTGCTGGCAGCTGGCAGTCAGCAGAATTAGCCTGCAGTACTGCATTCTAACCACTGCTTGTTTTCTGCTTGTCATAATATTCTGTATTAGAGCTTTCAAGTTACTTCTTTCTTCATCCATTGATGTGAATATATTGTATACCTTACAGCTTATATTTAATTGTAAGTGAAGAATGAAACCAGGGTTGGTTTCCCAACAGGCAAAATTATTTTCTATGAATTCACATGACACTAAAGTCAATTGGTGGCATTCCTAGGTTTGATTTGCCTATTTACTTTGTCTCCTTCTAAACCCAGGGGTGGTGGCTAATCACCTCACTCCAGTCCAGGGAATTCTTGTTGCTATTTATTCAAGGTATTCACTCTTACCAATGCTGTTGACAGCCTCCAGGAACCTTCTTCTGCATTTCTTTTTTTAAATGGTTAATAAGAATTTATAATGTTCCGATGGATAGGGTGTTCAGCCAGGATTGCCAGTAGATACTTTAAACATGTGATTTTTTTTTCCACACAAGAGATCCTGTCCACGCTACTATTTTTGCTTCGTGTCACATAATGTGATTCTACCTGCTGCAAAAATTACTCATTATTTGCCAGTACAGCCCAATCTCATAGCACCAAAATGTTTTTTCATTGGGTTGACTTGTAATGACATTGGACATTGCTTTAGCTGAGAGTGAGTTCATTTGGGCTGATCATCATCTTACGCAAGGCAGCCTCAGCCTGATTCCTCATTTACAGTTGACAGTTGTCCTCTTGGTGAAGGAGTGGAGCTAATGGTAAGTGATCATTACCTACCTGAATCTTCAAGAGAGAGCTACTTTAAATAGGGTCCTCAGTTTAGTGTCAGCCCCGAAGATCATTTTTCCAAGTGTCCTCCATTTCCACAAACTCTTAATCTCTGATTAAGGGCCTGAAGACAAAAACATATGAAGAACGGTTGCAGGAATTGGGTATGGCTAGTCTAGAGAAAAGAAGGACTGGTAGAACATGATAGCAGTATTCCAGTATTTGAGAGGCTGCCACAAAGAAGAGGGAGTCAACTTATTTTCCAAAGCAGCAGAAGGCAAGACAAGAAACAATGGATGGAAACAACTTAAAGAGAGAAGCATCCTGGAATTAAGGAGAAACTTCCTAACAGTGGGGACAATTCATCAGTGGAACAGCTTCCCTCCAGAAGTTGTGGGTGCTCCATCACTGGAGTTTTTAAGAAAAGATT